TAAATCAATAATTATTAATAATTTATATTTATAATAATTAAAATTATTAAAAACATAATTTACAATTTATTTATTAATACATAATGATAATAAATAATAATAAATTTATTATTATTATTTGGGGTATCTATATAGTTTTCTCATCTGGTTGGGTTCTATAAATATATAATTATGCTTTTAAATGAAAAGATAAATATCTATCTAAAGATAAAATAAAAATAAATACAAAAAATACATACATAAATAAAGGTCCAACAAGATGGAAGCCCTCGGCAGGGGAGACCAAACGACCGAGGGTTAGGACGAAAGGGAAAGAAACCAGCGGACGATGCGGGCGGAATCGAGGAGCACCGCCTTCTGCATTTGAGCCTGGAGCGGCCTTATAACAATGGGGCGGTGTTCGTGGAACCAAGGAACTACTCCTCATTGACGCGGTCATTGGCAAAGTGGTGAAACGCAACCGTCGGAACTTCTCCGCCGCCTGGATAGACTACAGAAAGGCGTTCGACTCGGTGCCCCATACATGGCTAAAGAGGTTCCTCGAGCTGTACAAGATTGACTGTACAGTTAGAGACTTCCGCGAGCAGTGTATGGGACAGTGGAGTACGATCCTTTGTCATCTGGGTGAGCGGATGACGGCTGCAGAAAGCCGCATAAGGACAAGAAAGGGTATCTTCCAGGGCGACTGTCTGAGTCCAATCTGGTTCTGCCTCTCTTTGCACTCTCTCAGTACTTTTTTAGAGGGCTCCGGGAGGTGATTTCAGCTTCGGAAAGGAGGTACAAAAGTAATCCACCTTTTCTATATGGATGACCTCAGGTTATTCGCCTCCAGTCGCTCCCATCTTATGGAATTGCTAAACATCACTAGTGGATTTAGCAATTCTATTCGGATGGAACTGGGGACGGATAAGTGTGCGGTCCTTCATGTTGAAAGGGGAAGGGTTGCACAGACTTGTCTATGCCCGTCAACTTAAGGACCCTTTCTGAGGCTGAAACATACCAATACCTGGGTATGTCACAGAACATCGGTATCGATGAGGCTGGTATGAAACCGTCAGTTTGCGATGTGATTTATGCACGCTTGACCAAAGTGCTTAACAGCCTTTTGTCCGGTGTGAATAAGACACACGCATATAACTGGCTGGGTCATGCCTGTCCTCATTTGGCGTACTCAGGTGGACTCAGATTGAACTTAACGCCCTGGATAGAAAAGTCCGCACTACCATGACGTCCCATAGGATGCATCTTCCGAGATCGTCGGTAATGAGGCTGTACTTGCCGCGAAAGCATGGTGGGCGTGGCTTCCTGAGCGCGCTCACCATACATAATCGCGAAGTGCGCAGGCTTCGTAACTACTTCCTGGCAAGATCGGATGATCTATTCTATAAGGACGTCATTTCTAGTGATAAAGGGCTTACCTCTCTATGCAAGATCGGATGATTATTTTATAAGGACGTCATTTCTAGTGATAAAGGGCTTACCCCACTATCCTTAGCCAACGAGCAATGGCAGGACCCAGCAGTGTATGGCATTTTCGACCTCGAGATCGTATGGAGTCCATGGGAAGTACTACAGAGCTCCACATGAGCCCTTCGTAGATACAGTCGCCTCCCTCAACTGGTTACGTTTCGGTGACCTCTTCGGGGAAACAGAGGGTTTTGTCTGTGCAATACAGGATCAGGTTATTAAGACCAACAACTATCGGAGATAAATCCTAAAGGATGGCACTGTCGACGTCTGTCGAGCTTGTCGTCATTCCGGGGAGTCACTTAGGCATGTCATATCCGGTTGTTCGGCGCTTTCTAACTCTGAGTACTTGCATAGGCACAACCTAGTACCCAGAATCCTACATCAGGAGTGTATATTTTTGGTCGACATTACCATTCCGTATGACGAGAACCTCGTGAAAGCCGAAACAGATAACCGAACAAAATATCTGGACCTAGCTCACGAGGTGACCGACATGTGGGGTGGTCTGCCAGATGAAATTATTCCTGTAGTCATCTCTGCGAATGGGCTAATCCCAGTCAGCCTCTCGGGTCATCTGAGGCGACTAGGATTCCATGACGGACCACTCTGCTCTGTGCTACTGTGCTCCTCGATACCGCCATATCGTCCGCCGGTTTCTTTCCATTTCCTCCTAATCCTCGGTCGTTTGGTCTCCCCTACCAAGGGCTTCCATCTGGTTGGATCTTTATTTATTTATATATTTTCTCTATTTATTTTATTTTATTGATATTTATGTATATTTATCCTTTCATTTTAATGTATATATATATATATATATATATATATATATATATATATATATATATATATATATATATATATATATATATATATATATATATAACCCAACCAGATGAGAAAACTATATAGATACTCCATAATAATAATAATAATAAATTTATTATTATTTATTATCATTATGTATTAATAAATAAATTGTAAATTATATTTTTAATAATTTTAATTATTATAAATATTATAAATTATTAGAAATATAAATTATTAACTATTATTGATTTATTATTATTGTTTTTAATAATATTTCACCGTTTTATAATGTTTCTTTTTGTCAATAATTAAAAAATTACTACTATAGCTACTTACCGACGGCAGCGTGGCTACAAATTCTACAAATTTTCAGGGACAGGCGGGCTATGCTTTAGCACGTAGCGATCGTTCTCCTGTTCTCTAACCACCATGATTTTTCTTATATCAAAGATCACAAACTAACAAGAGTACATCAAAATTAAATATGTATTGGTTATTGCAACCAAAGAGTATATGTGCACTACATTTTTAAGCGACTGTAAATTGCCTAGACATTGTATCATCATCATTTACACTATTATGTTATTATTTATTTTAGTTACTATTTATTATAGTTTATTGAAATTATTATATTATAATAATTCCATGATTATTTTATGGATTTAATCCTCCATCTACACTATGGAGTGTAGAAGTAAGGAGTACAGACTGTATATTTAAAAGTGTCCATAGAAAACCGTTAAATAAGGATGGCGTCACTATAACTACGGGGTAAATTTTAAAGAACGCACCGAAAAATATTAGTGGGATAGACGACTTTTTCGAGGTTATATTTACTAAATAAAATTATTTTAGATTTTAGAGCTACTGAGCAGTTTAGCAGCACATTTAAACCGTCGATAACTGCTAAGTTCATTTCATCCCAGTAGCTACTCCAGCGCTGTTGTGGAGAGTTTTTGAACTGTTATTTACTGCTTATAGATGGCCACTTTTTCAACTATTGTACCTACTATGGGAGTTGGTACTCCTTACTCGTCCTAAAGACCGATTTACACTTCGACAAGTACAGTAGTGAGTTTAGTTACAGGGCAGTTGACAGTAAACGGTTAAGTGGGCAGTAGCGTTCAAACAATATCTTAGTGGCAAGTTCATACTCATAGAGTTCGTTGGAGTATTACGTTTCAAGACTACAGAATTTTTCCGGTTTTCGTTAAAGATAGTTCTAGGATTACGTCAAGAATTAAATGATCCAGTCAGAGAAGTATTAATAGTTGTTGTTTAAGAAGTTTATAAGAATTTTCATGAGTGCAGTATCTCAAGCAGGTTTAATTTTACAGTTTTAACTTCTACTATTATATAAACATTCGTGTTCTAAATACTCCTGTACGAATTTATATGTGATATCTTCTGTCCATTTTATTATTAAAACTCAATATAAAACGTATAAATATTCAATAAACAGTATCGTACAAACTTTGTGGCGAGTTTTATTATAAAAGTACAATAATTGTACGTTTTGGCGCGCAAACGTTGCGTCCTGTCGACCTATGCACTGAACTAAACTCGCTCGTGTACACGAAACGGCGAGTTTAGTTGCAGGTTGCGGGAGACTTTTGGGAGGGCAGCACTTCACACTTAACTCGCCGAAAAATAGCTCGGCCGGCTATCCCGTTCAACTTAATCGTTAACTTGCTACTTAACTCGCTTATTGTCGTTCAAACGAGGTTCAAACTCAACTCGCCAGGTTCACAAGTTAACTCGCTACTGTACTTGTCGAAGTGTATGTAAATCGGTCTTTACTTCTACACTCCATAATCTACACTAAATTGCCAACGTAAATAATAAATCATAGATAATATTTAGATTATTCTGTTATTTTTTTAATTATCAGATCGAAGCAGATCAAAGATGTTTATTTTAGACTGGTTTATTACCTCAGAATAATAACTAAATCATTTCATAACAAAAAATACAGTTGAGGAATAATAATCTGTAAAGTTATATTTCCATACTCCCGTGTTACGAAATGTAGTGTGATTTCTTTAAGGGTGCGTTCAAAAATTGTTTAATGTTGTGATAATATTGATTTTGTTCCTTAATATTGTATATCATAATTAGTAATGTATAGGAATCTTTAATTAGAATGTATTCGTATAGAAGCAAATTCGATTATTACAACGAGTTATATTCAGGAAAATCGTGCAAATAAAAAGTTTTATTTTGAACGTTGTTAATGTCATTCATCCGTTAGCGCCCTCTATTGTCCGAATGTCTAATTTGTAAAATTAGAAGTCAGCCTTCCGCGAGTTCCGTGTGTGTTGCGGAAAATACCCTTTTTGGGCGTCCGACCACATGTGTGAATTGTGAACAAAATATGGTTCAATAGTGGTTTTAGGCATTAAAAAGCCAGTTTCGCAGTGTTTACTTTACGAAATCGATAGATACGGTTTGTCTGAAGCATTGTGTGCCGTTGAAAAGTCGGAAAGAGTCGTTGGAAGTGGATTTTTTCGATGTAAATACGGTTCAAGCAGGTTCACTCTGGTGCGCGTTGCAAAGTCAAAGCATATTTCTTGTTATTCGGGACTTTTGCTCTTCTGTTTAGGAGTGTGCGCCACCGCTTAATAAAGCGACCTTCACTCAATTGATTTAGGTCGCGTTTCACGGGAAAGTTCGCCTCGCTCGTGGGTACGACCCGCAGCATGCCGTCGTGCTAAGTGGCATGGATGCGCGCTCGTGATCGTCGGTTGGCGCGGAGCGCGCGCCCGAACTTACATAACGGGGATAGCAGCGGCATGGCCGCGCGCGTATCGGTCGAGGGCGCAGGGCCCTCATATGCATCTGTGCTTAACTTTAGAGGGGGGGACAGTAATAAAGAAAACATCGAAGCCTCTGAGGAAGTAGTGGATGTGGCACCGCGGCCAGACGATGAGGAAGAAGAAGGCTTCGTGCCAGTGATCTCCCACGGCCGGCGACATGGTAAAAGTCGTAAGGAACGGGAGCGCAGGGCACCTCCTCGCCCTCACAAGGCTCCCCAGCCTCATACTGAGCCACAACCAACCCCAGAACAGCAACAGCAAGCAGCTGAAGCTCAACCGAAGAAATTTGTGGAGGCACCTATACCCAAAGTTAATCCTTGGCAGGTGAGTGAAATTTTTATATGATTCACCACCTATTAAAGCTATGAACCATATATTTTATATTCTGGTTAAAATTAGTGACTTGCAAATCAATGCTTTATCTATTCGTATGTGGTGAATCTTGGGGAGCACAAGAATTGTTTGATTCTTGTTTTTCTTCTTTAGCTATTACACAATTTTTTTAACCATTTTGTTTGTGTTACATCAGTTTCAGTGAGTAAATAGTTAATTGTGAATTGTAACCTTGGAGTGGTTCTCAAAGTATTTGCTGATATATATTTTTCAGTTTTATTCAGTCATTTTATATCTTTACTTTGTGAAACGATAGCAACATAGTAATAATTTGTGCAGTTTGAATTATTTGACTTATACTTGACTGATTTATTGTTGTTAGGATTTTAGGCAACATAGTACTGAAATATAAATGATGGCACATGGTATGAAGTACAAATACATTGAATTTTAATATTTTATATATTATGGCCATTGCTATTGTGTTAAGGGCATAATAATTTTGCCAATGTCAGATCTTTGCTCATTATTTCTTTTCTTGAGGCTTCTCTGTGAGAAAGGAGTTGCCAGTTCTAGACTGAAATGTGGCTAAAAACAAAACTAAACCAATACGGGGTTATGGACAACACAGTATAAAATAAAAAAAAACGACGGGTTGCACTCCGGGAGTGCCGGCAGAAGTGAAAACTTGAATATTAACGTTGTGCATTTTTGATAATTTGGAATGATTAGGGAATAATTTTGCACGAATTGCTTTAATTATCACACAAGAACATTCACGCAAGCGCCCTGTGCCGCCTAAACGAAACAGCAGGCAAACATTTTTGCCGCGCCGTATAAAGAGAGGGGGATACTTCCTCTCCTACGCCGTGCCGGCTGTCTCTCTTTCCATCCATCTTACAAATGTTCGATCAGGGTCAAGTGTCCTGATGCGAGTTTAACATTTTTTACCCACTACAAAAAAGTGTACAACTATGCTAAAGAAGTTTTCACTTCAAAAATCTTGTTTTGGAGTGGGAAAATAGCTTGAGCTTAGAGTGTAGGGTTTTTACTAAAGTAATTATTAATTACAATTGAATATTACATAAGAGGCGACAGAGAGAAACAAGCCAGAATATGGGCAGCAGCGACTTCCTAATAACAACTAAAATTAAGGGTATGTTCCGAAATACAACCCAGTACACTGGCAAATGCAAATGACGTCATCAATTGACACTATACTGTACTGGCTTGCCGCCGCCATATTGCGTCGGATATCCGGCCACAATAAAACAATTTTTAATTGTGTGTGCACTGAATGAAGCATGGCAGAATTTGTTTTTATTAATTCAAATACAAAAAACTATAGAATAATTGCTGGTATCTCCATTAGGAAGATAAAATGATTTTTGGAGCACAAAATGATAAAATAATCGCCAACACTTTTCCAATGTGGCGTAAATGTATGATGTCATATACTGTCCTATGTTTTGGAACAAATCACCAGTATAGCGTCGATTCATGACGTCATTTGCATTGGACAGTACACTCGGTTCTATTTTGGAACATACCCTAAGAAACTGCAGTTGTCAACCTGCTTGCCTTAGCAAGTATAACAACTAAGGCAAATATCCTCCCTATGAGGCAACCTATGCAGGAGGCCTATGTTCAGCAATGGACTTTAATGCTCTGTAAAAGAACAGACAGAATGGATTACGGATTTGAATATATTTTTGAGACAATATTGACATGCATGGCTTCAGACATAGTTAAAAGGATCATTAAATGGTAGAAGGATTAATTTCGAAAGGATGTCTACATGGATGGATACAAAGTCAAAGATAATGGCCTATGTTCCATCCTTGTGGGGCGAGACTTATGTTCAGCAGCAGACTTATAGCTTATTATTAAAGAATGAATGATCGCATTCTTTTAAAAAAAATTATGGAAGAGGATTTTATATAAGGTAGAGCCATGCTGCAGTTATATTAGTAGTATAGTTGTAGCACGAATGGGTCGGCACAACTGGGGTAGGACCACACTCTCACAGAATGCCAGCGTAAAATAGTAGCTTAATGCTGCTGTGTTTCATATGGTGAGTGTAGAGAACTGGAGACCCTTTTTACTAGAAACGTGGTATTCCATATTAGTCCTCACGAGTGACAAAGCATTTGCATTTTGATTCATAATCTAGGATAGATATAGATATCTATGGGCCACAGCAACCACTTACCATGTGGACTGTGTGCTCATTTGTCACCCTGTCCTATAAAAAAAGGCAAATGAGCAGTTCAGCTGATGGTAAGTGATCACCATCGCCCATAAACATCAGCAACCCTTCACTTTCATTCTTCTCTTCCAAGCATTTGTTGTACCTATTTCAATGAACAAATTAAGACAAAGATTCTCTGGCAGAGATTACTGTCAGCAATAAGGCCCCTCATTACTATACCATTTAGTCATTCTATCTGTTAATTTGGTAAGGTATGGTTTAAATTATGCATAGATTTGGAACAGAATACGAATTTACAATTGTACTTCACACACAGTAGACTTCATGGCATTATTATTCTTCTTGATTTTTTAATGCCGGCTGTACACGCTCATCTTGTTGCCTCGCGTGCCTTTCGTCGTGTTGAGGCTCGACATGAGAACACACCATGTACACACTCTTTGTATCATTTGAACTCTGTATGCCTGCTAAGATGTACCTAGATGAAACTGTTTTGCATTTGTGCTATTAGTTATTATAACTTTTTACACATTTACCATAAAAATAAAATTAATAAGCCACGGCGAAGAAGAAGATGGTGGATGATTTTCCCCAGCGCAGCCACTCATTGCTAAGCCACTGCGCCACGGAGTCGTCGAATTTATTAACTTTACTGTGGTACCCTGATAAGGATCAGCCGGATAATATAAAATAATTATCAGGATCAATATAGCTCATGATCAATGTGTGTTGTTTAAGTTTTTTAAACTCTATTACATTTTACATTACTAATTTTCTTTTTCCTCATCAGTCCATTATAGTTCACTGCTGAACATAGGCCTCTTATATTGTAGAAAATATTTGCCATAGTTGTCATCCTTGGTAGGAGGACTTTACTATTTGTAACCAGTTTTGAAAAGGAGGAGGTTATCAATTGGATGGTAATATTTGTTTTATGTGGTTTCCCCATGAACTTTTTTCTAGGTGAACTGATGTGGATTATTCTTTTATTTGAAAGCTGGTGCTTCTCTGTGGTCTCAAATTAGATCGAGATATGATCAGTTGTTTTTGAATTATCCATAATAATGCATATTTAATTGACTTCGACTACATTGTTGATATTCTCATTTTATTTATAATACATACATACATACATATAGTACATAATTATTAATTTCATCACTTTTATGTTGCTTTTTAACACCATTATAGGTCACTGGAGTACAATGGCATATAGAGCATGAGACAAGAGGCATATTACATAATAATAAGAATAATAATCATCATAATTTATTTTAATCCATCAGATCATAGTTACAGTAGTACATTTGAAATGAAATTTAAATTTTGAATTACATATGAATTAAATCAAAATAAAATTGAATTATATAAAATTAAAATTATTAAAAACCAGATTAAAACCATTAAAACCAAATAACATAATTAAATATAAAAAACAATAATTTGCCTGCCTTAGTCATTTATTTGTTTGTCCATACATTAATCATATAACAATGTTTAATGTACTGACAATCAAACCTGTTGCAAATACGTTCAAGATGGAGTTGGATGTGGTCTGGAGCCTGCGTCCCAGAGATGTGCATTTAACAGTAACATAGTAACACATTGTTAACTTAAATATTTAACCCTTCCAAAGTTCATATTTAAATTGTAGGTAGTAACAGATTATAGGAGGTTTATCTGTATTGTGAATGATTTATTTGAGTACTAACTATAATTGTAAATAAATGATGTCAGTGTCATAAATTCATATTACACCTTTATTACACTTCCATCCCTAATGTGATGATTTTCGAAATTAAATTATAAGTCATAACAACATGTCAATAGTTAATGTAGCAACTGCAGTGGTTAAAGATGCATGTACTAATGGCAAGGTATTATTTGTTCCTTCTGATTACAGTGTTATATTACCAAAGTATAAAAACAAGTCTTTGATGTGTGGAAAGAATGTTTTTATAAGAGTTCCTTTAAGAAAGGCATTTAGTATCATACTATACAACACAACCCACAGCATATAAATTACAATCTGGACACATTCCACTTACCCTCAGGTAGACTGTGTGCTTGTTTGCCACATTCTATAAAAAAATGAATTTTTAATAACATCCTATTTTCATCAAACTTTGTTAAAGCTAAGATGTCTTTAATTTTATGTTTTATGGTTGTCATGACATTACATTGCATGACAAAGCTCAAGGTCTCTCAACAAGCTGCAGGAAGGGCTATGCTTAACGTGACCAGACGTCCCGTTTTGAACGGGACTGTCCCTTTTTATAGTTACGAGTCCTGGTGTCCCCGAAATGAACTCTGGGACGCAAAATTGTCCCGTTTTTTGAAACCGCGCGAAAATTTGTGTTGTTACTAAAAAACTTTTTTGAAGATCCCGCATCCGAATTATGGCTTTATTTTTTACACGCCCAGTCAGCAAGTTTTCATCAAGCTGTATTGAAACTCGAAGTTCAGACTGTATCGGCTATTGAAGCTGCAAAAAAAATCAATCAACTCAAAGACAATTGGCTCAGAATCAGTTTCTTCCATTTAATGTCCGTCAATTAAAAGAGAAATCGAAAGATAATGTTACTGACATAGATGAAAAATTGGTGAAAAGGGCGGCTACAGAATTTTATGAAACAAGCCGTGAATATCTGGAGTAGTGGACTTGCTTTCTTACCAAAGAAATGGAGATATTTTGTTGGGCAGATTTAAAAAAGTTTCCCGCATGGGAAGACGTTCAAAAATCTCAGGATGTATTAATTGTAAAGGAATATATTGACTG